CTCTTATTACAGGATAATAACAGTGGTCCTGCTACAAGCAATGGGAATGGCGCAAGAGATAACACTTGACAGCCTGGAAGACGGCCCGAGTATCCTTTCTGGAAAAAATGTTAGACGATTCAAAAGTACTTTTAAGAAGTCTATTTGAATAAAGATTATTTTGACTTTGACTTTGACTAAATAAGCCCTACAAAAATAATGTTTAATTGTCATGCATATATAATATTTATAGTTAAATTAAGTTCGGCCTTTATTAAATAACAAAACTATGTCTTTTTAAGAACCACATATAGATTATCGTAGCAACAAGCAAGAAAAAGTTTCTGAACTTTTGAAATTAGTAGAGTCAAGAGAGGATTTACTGATAGACTAGGATCTGTAATAAAAAGTATATCAGGAAATCTTGATTATAAAGACGCTATTTATTACGATTACGCTTTAAAAACCATTCAGAATAATGAGAAAAAATTAGTTTCTGAATATAACAATGTCATAAGCTTAACTAAAAAATGAATGTCTAAACATTCCATAATATTAAGTAATATAACTAATAATCAGAATAAAATTCAACAGTACTAAATTTAATAATGGAAAGTGAAGCTAACAGAGAAACTGAATTAATAAAGTATGCCCATCTGGCAATATAAGTATTAATATTTAGTGATATTAAGTGATTAATATTAAGTGATTTGACAGAAGAATTAGTTAAGATAGAAATTATCGTAGCTTTTATATATTCATCTAGTACTCACCATTCAATGTTAAGTTAAAATACAATAAAATCTATTTCAATTAAGATGAAAAGTATATAAAGATAAGATGATGAATCTTAGAGATAACTATGACGACATTAAGCTTGGTTCTTATTGTACTAATAATGGGATCGTTATAGTTTATAAGATGCCAATTGCCTCTCCAAATATCTTTATACTTTATAAATTATCTATAGTTCCCAATAGAAACTACACGATTCTTATCCCATCCTTACTTTTCATTGCGATACTCATAAACTGGACAAGACATGCCTGCCAACTTCACTTCTATTAGACAAGAAAGCACTAGAACAAATAGACGACAAACATTACGTAGTCGCGTTTCCTAAGCCAACGAAAATCAAGACATCGTGTGGAAAGACAACATATACTAACGTTTCAGGGAAGTTACTTAGCAACGATTCCATCTGGATGTTACATGCATACGACAGAGTGCACAATCTCGAATAGCAACGATTGTATAAAAGGAATAGCAATAAAGACTATCAAATTACCACATTAATTGAATAATCCGTCAGCATTACTGAAACCAATGATCAAACTGAATTTCAATAACATAGAAAACCTTCACACCAGCAACAGCAAGATATATATGCAGCATCCAATCGACATAAGAAAAATTGAAGAGACCAGTATCTACCACACCACAATACCTTTCTATAAAATCATGTTAAGTGCAGCTGTACTCCTTATCTACATCTTTATACGAAGATTTTGATTAAAACAACGAGAAAAAGGGAACGAATCTAAAGACGCATCTCAAGAAATATATGCAGAAATATCAGAAGATAAACAAGATGCACCAACAGCGCAGCAACATTCTCAAAGAATATTTTCAATAGTTGCTGATCTTCGGGGGGTGGTGTTATGCGTTATCACGGACGCGCCGATACAGCAGATACATCGATTACCTGAAATAAATAATAAATTACGATAGCGCCGTCACAAGGCGCTGACTCGACAACACGTGAGGCATCTGGTCGCAACCTGCGGCTAACGCAAGACTTTTCGTTCACTTTAGTTCTTAGATCGAACATTGTCAATTGTTCTTTAGTTATTAAAAGTTGATTGTAATTTTTCTTATCTTTAATAAATATTAATTGGGAAAATCATTTTTTTTACATCCTACGCTGCCGTCGTCCTCAATTCACACTAATAGTACAAAAAATCATAACAATAACAACATAATTACCATGAATCATATCTGATATTTGCACCAATAATAAGCGTGTACAGATAGCATTTGTAATTTTGTCACTATGACCATTGATAGGAATTTAAATAAACATGTCGGAGTGAAGGATATACATGCGTATCTTTGTGTACCTTGTCGACTATATCAGTTTCACTTGATCAACTATGTCCTTTTATCTATAAAATAGTGATTTAATTCAAAGTTTCTACTAAGAGTTTATCTGCCTTCCTTTTAAACCGGTAAAATTGTCATATATCACTGCTGCACGCTTACAGACCTGTAAAATGGTGCAGAATTATGTATGTTAAAAAAATTACTGCCGTTCACTAAAATACTGCTGACTTCAAGAAGCACTCTCCAAAATATTCCATTAGTACAGATCTGTCGTAAATGTCAACCTGATGAACGATGGAACATTATGTCATTAACAATATCTATATCGATGGTGTTACAATTTGTATATACTTAAATAACTGAATTTTGTTGACCGAGAATGTATTTATTTAGAGCAACTGGTTTTTGTTATTAAATATTATAAATACAACTAGCGCAATTTAGTTTTCTATACATAGTAGAAAACGAAGTCGCTTCCCGCTGTCTGTAAGCTGAATGATTTTTTGAAAACAACAATGGGTTTTAATTTGGTTTCCGTCATTATACAGAGCGATTCAAAAGATAGGTTTATGTATGTATACCAGACAACGCAGGCGAAGCCGCCACTGGAAAGCTAGTTTAATGAATGACCTTGATGATTTGATGTCATATGCTAATATGAGAAAACACTTTGTAGATCTTGTGCCAATTATTTAAGAAGAATAACTTTTGATAAGTAGGTAAATAGAAAATAGCAATATATTTGTACGTACAAAGATCTGTCTGTTTATTTTAACCATAAAAAGATGACATTAGTATTTAATTTGATAAAATATTTTCCATCTAACGTGTATATTCATGATGGTCGCCTGATGTGCACTAATTGGGTATATAAAACTTCTTTGAATAATTTTATTATGATTTAAAATTTAAATTAAAAGAATGGTTTCGAAAGACGGACCAATTTGCAAACTATGTAAATTTTTATTAGCAACATAAAAAAACCATAAAAGAACACAATACAAGTTATTGATATTCAAACCTTGAAGCCGTGATATTAGCATTTATTGGCTGGAATGACATCATTAATCACTGGAATTACCCAGGGTCCAATTCTATTAATTTACAACGTAACCATTATACAAACGATCAATAGCGTTTGTATAACGGTTACGTTTCGATTGTTGCTGTAAATTTGCATTCCGATAACGTCAATTGTCAAACGAACGCTTACTAAACTAAAACGAAATCGTAGCCAAATCACAGCCGAACCAAACAGCTGTCATTAGTGTTAAAAGGATTATTTATTTATTTGTGCAACCAACAAGGTCAAACACTATACACGCAAATAAATTAATAATAAATAACAAAGACAATGTGCTGCCTTAATTAAAGGTTACCACGACATGCATATGAAAATGTAACCTGGAAGCGCATGGCCCCAACAATAAACAAGCTTAAATGTAATTACAGCATAACATACTTTTTAAAATTAAAAGTAAAGAAATTTAATAGGTTAAATCTAATAGTGACTATGGTTAATAAAATAAAGACCATTGAGATCAAGCTACACAATTAATTTATATCTAAAAATGCCAAATTCTTTATTTTTTGATATACTATTATATTGGTTTTGTAATCTGTTTATATCTGTGAAGAATGATATCCTAGTTTACTTTTAGTTAATTTAGCGGAAAATAAGGTGTAGCTGGACCAACGCGCAAGTTTATAAGGGACATAAAAATTTAATTTATTCACCAGTTCGGGACAGTCTGAGATTCCATTCGCCAGCTTTTATACTTAATCTGTTCGTTTCCGTCTGCTTATCAAAGAGTCCATTTTTAAGTATTTTAATCTATCCACGTAAGATGTTAGCTTTATAGCTATTTTGATTAATAAGCCAGATGGTACAGAAGCTTATTTTGTATTCTCTCAATTTTATTGTATTTGAGTGCACTTCGTACAATGGAGACCTTACAACATAGCAATACTCAAGGCCACGATACTGTACGATACGAACGATACTGTTATATAGGTTAATCTATGTTGATGCATTTTTAAAATCCTTGCTGTTTCTTATTACGAAACCTAAACACTTTAGGGATGTATTAACTATACAGTCACAATGTTTTTTAAAGGAGAGTTTTTTGTCTAATATTACCCCAAGAACACGGATCTCTTCAACTTCATTTAAAAGCTGGTGAGCTATACTAAAACATCTGGGCTGCACGTGTCGATTTCTGGTTAAAGTAATAAACTGACACTTATCAACATTTAATAGCATGTTATTTCTAACACGCCATCGTTCTAAATTATTAGTGTTTTCTTGTTATAACTTCATATCTTCAGAACAAAGGATTGGTTTCAATAACTTTAGATCATCTGCATATATAAATGAAACTATTAGTTAAACGGGAGACGAATAATGATTATTCATTCCTTCATTTTTATCATTTCTGTATGTAATGTAAAACCTCTTCCCCCCGGACCGCTACACAAGCCGAACGTGTCTTGAGACTGAGTTTATTATCTTTTCGTAAATATTTTTTAATAAATAAAGTGAAAAATTCAAGAGAAGAAAATAGGAGTGCATAAACTGAAGGAATAGTGAAACAACCATCTCATAAAAGTGAGTTCCTTTGAATTTCTGCTGCCCTGGTACCTTATAAATCAACCATCCAACCAACTCATCGTATAAGCTGTGTGCTTTACGGATACATCCATCTTTTGGTTAATTGGGTAATACGGCAACCTCATTTTTTGCATTTTCGATTAACTTGCCAATCATATGTAACGCGCATAGAACGCCTAACGTCATAGTAAAAGGGATACACCCAGTTGCGAGTACATTGCTGCTTGAGACGAAAACTTTGACGTACATTGAAAAGTTTGTCAAACTCTTTAACGTCTTTTGTTTTCCTTACTTCCTGGTAACCAATATGGATAAATCATTTTCGGATTCCAATCTTACCTTGGTTACCACACCGCCAAATTTTATACCAAAAAGAATTGTGAAGAGGAAAATCGACACAGGGCACGGGTTGGAGATGGACTCATTTAAAGAAGAATTAAAAATAATGATTGAAGAAATAATCTCTAATCAACATAATGAACTAAAGAAAATTACTCCTACCCTGATGGATATTCAGCAAACCAATAAAAGCATTGAAAATTCTATAAGTTTCCTCTCGAGTCAAAATGAAGAGTTAAAGAAAAAGCTTGAAAAATTTGAAATGCAAGCTAAAAAAGACCGAGAGCAAATAGTACTGTTGGAAGATAAAATAGAGGAGCTACAGAGAAATGATAGAAAAAACAATTTTGAAATTAAGAATGTTCCGAAGGCAAGGGAAGAGAATAGACACAATCTAATAAATATGGTATTGAACCTGTCTAAAACTATTGGCTGTAACATAACGGAAGGTGATGTGCACGATATATATAGGGTGAAAAGCTCAAAAAATGTTATCAACACACCAATAGTAGTGGAAGTCTCGTCAATATTATTAAAGAATAACTTCATAAAAATGTGTAAATCGCATAATGTCAAACGTAAAGAAAAGTTATGTGGCAAACATTTAGGATTTACGACGAACGAAGACACTCCTATATTTATCGGCGAACAGCTCACCGCAAAAGGTGCTCGTCTGTTCTACCTAGCGAGAGACCTAGCTAAAAGTAAAGCCTATAAATTCTGCTGGACCAGTTATGGAAAGGTTTACATCCGCAAGCAAGAAAACACACCAGTAATCCTGATCAAGACTGAAGCTCAAGTAAATCATCTTTTACAATGTGCATGACTAACTGAATGTAAACTTTGTATTCCCTCTCATATTTTTAGAATCATATTTTTGTTTCAAGAAATATTATTCAATGCATGCAAACATAATACAATTAATTTAAATATTCTCTTAAACACTATAATTTACATACAAAAAATATCTGATTTTACTCACATTTATACACATTCACATGTCCAATTTATTAATGATGGAATATTTTTTGGTAATTTGTACAGTGTTAATATAATGGACTTAGTTGTCCTGCCAGGACTAAGCCATGTTATACTAAATTTTCCAAAAAAAAAACCGCAAATAAAAATACCAGTATAAAAACAGGTAATAAAAATAATAATAATATAATAGATTATAATGAATAGCACATTAAACAGTATAAATGTAATAGATAATACTGAAATGACGTATTCTTCACGATGTGATATCTCCGAAATATCAAAATATGTTCAAAAAAGCAGCAACGACTTTTCTATTATAACTCAAAATATTAGAAGTGTATACAGCAATCTCGATGATCTCCAAATTAATTTAAAACAACTAAATTTTGACATTGACTTACAAATTTTGACTGAATGTCGGCTAAATTGTGAGAAACCTATTCTTGGTGGCTATAACGCATTCAGCTCAGTATATAACATGAATCAGAACGATGGGGTTGTAGTATACATTAAAAATATCTACGATACACAGATCACAGAAATTAATCTCCAACATTCCACTTGCTTACAAATTACTTACCAGAACCTTACAATTTTAGGAATATACCGTTCTCCCTCTAATCTAAATGCAGATAACTTTATAGAGTCACTAAATTCTCACTTAGAAACTATAAAGAGGCATCAAAACATTCTAATAACAGGAGATATTAACATTAACTTGATTCCCAAATCTAATGAAAATACTCAGGAACGAAATAATCGTATAAACTATTCAAACATGCTCTCTATGCATGAGATCCTTCCAGGTCACGTTTTACCTACTAGAAATAAATCTTGTTTGGATCACTGTATGGTTAAGCTTGACAAAAATAACAAAAGCTCATTTGTATATGTAACTAATACATCTATCACGGATCACGCCACGGTATTAGTAAAACTTTCAAATATTAAAACTCAATCTAGTACATATTCTAAAACTACAAAAATCGTTAATTTTGACCAGGCAGCTAAAACCTTAGAGCAAAAGAATTTAAATTCATCGCTTATCTGTAGTAATCCAAATAGTTTAACAGATAAAATAATCGATTTAATAAAAGACTCGCTAGAAGAAAACACTAAAACTATTAAAATTAGAAGAAATAAGCGTATTAGTAAACCCTGGATCACAGCTGGTATAGTACGTTGCATCACAAATAGAAATAAAATGCGGCCAGCGGCCAGCGGTCAGCCGTTTCTACGGGTCTCCCTGGCTGGCGGGTCGATGCAGTCCTCCTGGCACTAGTTCGACGGAGGCACCCACCGGACCGAAACAATCGCGTCAATGTCGTCCCGAGCTCTGGTTGTACGTTGACTGATCCCGAAACGCGCTCTACGAGCGAGCACTTCACGGGTTTTTCACCATGTGTGTACGGTGGTAACTAACCAGGCGGGATTAAACCCTACCACCAGTTGCGAGCAGATCTGAACTCGAATTCCTTTAGTCGCCTCTTACGACACCCACAGGAAAGGAAGGGGCGGTGAGTTATGTATTCTTTCTCCGTCACCGCACGGATATAAAATGTACATAAATGAGTTGAGCAATCTGAAGATCAAAAATGCGAAGGTATTTACATATGCTGATGACACAGCCATAGTGTTCTCGGGAGATACATGGTCTGACGTGTATAGGAGAACGGAGAGTGGTCTTGCATTGGTTGCCGAGTGGTTAAAAAGACATTTACTAACTCTCAACATAAACAAAACCAATTATATATGCTTCTCGATAGATAAAAGAACTCAACCTAACAGCGACCTTAAAATTCGCATTCATAGATGTGGAAATCCCAGAAGTGCCACTTGCTCTTGCTTGGGTATTGAGAAAGTTGAAACTATTAGATACTTGGGAGTTATTATTGATCAACGTTTGGCATGGCATCCCCACTTAGAAATGGTTATGGCTAGAATTAGGAAACTCGTGTGGATTTTTAAAAAACTTGGACATGCTGCTGATAAAGTAACCTTAAATAAAATTTATGTTGCTCTGGCCCAATCGGTGTTAAGCTATTGTATTACTGTATGGGGAGGGGCTACTAAACTTAAATTCTTGGAAGTTGAAAGAACCCAAAGGTCGCTATTAAAAGTAATGTACTTCTTGCCTTACAAATACTCTACGGAGGTACTGTATACCCATGGTGACATTTTAACTGTTCGGAAATTATATATTTTTAACTCTGTATTGAAGATGCATAGATCACTTCAATATGATCCTAATAAATTAAATAATAAAAGAAGAAAACACAAAGTTATTCCTCTAAGTACGGTAAAAACAGCTTTTGCTGCGAGACAATATCATAGACAGGCTACTCATACTTGTACTTACATACTTGTAAAATAAATGTTTTAAACTGGCTCAAAATCCTAAAATACGAAGAAACAGAACTTCTTCTAAAGATTGACAAATAAGTGGAAAAGCATTCTTTATCAATATGAAATTAACAACTAAAAAATTGGAAAAAAGGTCATTGCCAACGCATAAACACTCACACACACACACACACACACACACACACACACACACACACACCCACACACACCCAATTACACACACCCTCACACACACTTTATCTTTTAATTTAATTACTTACCTATGTTTAATCCGGTCTTGAAGAGCGATAACATCCTGATACAGGTATTTTTAAATACTTACTAGGAATGTTATCACAAACAAATGTCTCACACTGATTTGATATGTAAATAAACATTTTTGATTTTTAATTTTTTTGATTTTGAATGTATTATATTCTTATTCGAACGTTTAAAAATAGGGACGAAACGCCCGAATATTAGCTGCATCAAGAAAGTGCAAACATCTAAAAAAAGTGCATATATCATATGTTGAACTATAGGGAAAATACCCCAAATGCGATTTATAAATAATAATAATAATTATTATGAGTATTTGACATAATAAAAATAAGGTACGTATTATTGTCATCATGTTAGAATATAATCTAATAAAAGTTTATTTCATAGAATCTGTAGACTTTAACAATTATATTTAAACTTTAACCAATCCATCCTCTATGGCAAAGCGACAACAAAACAGCTATTGCTTACATTTGAAACGAAGGTGGAACAAAATCCGCATCTCTTATAAATATGGCATACCAAAATTTTCAGTTCATGAAGCTGCATTCAATTTGAATAATTTCGTATCACATACCGGGAAGGTACAACGGCCATGCAGATCATCTATCTCGTTTCTGATTACCACCAGAGTGGCATCTTCTACCTGCATGTGCAGAAATTGTGTTCAAAAAGTTTGGTGTGCCTGTGATAGATTTATTTGCATCAAAGACTGCTTATGTCGTTACGAATTATGTTTCTTTGGACCAAAACGATGTTCATTCAATTTATCACGGAGCTTTTTCCCGTTAATAGAACTATGTGAAAGGTTGGGTTTTCCCTCCCCCTCCTTATCTAATTTTCAAAGAGTTAAGTCACCTCAACCAAGCTCAAGGCACTTATTTCCTCAGTGGGATCGAGTATTTTGGAGATCAGGTCTGAAATCCAGAGCACTGGTTCCAAAGTTTACCATACCCCACCTAAGTCGTTACCTGATAGACACCTCAATGAATTTTTCCATCTTCGAAAGTACAAGAGATGATATTGGTAGTGTGGATTTGTAAGGCTGGTCAAGTAACCTAACTGACTGGGACGAATCCCAGCTCAATCTTTTACAATCATCATGGCGCTCATCTACGCGAAAAACATATAGGGCAGCCTGGTTTAGGTGGCTTAAATGGAATAAGCTACATAAGTTAAATGCTTTTCAACGTAATGGTTCAGTATTAGCAAGGTTTTTAGCTTATTTATACCTTAAAGAATTATTCTCTTATAACACAGTATTGTTACGTAATATCCACATTATGTAATACAGAACTATCAGGTTCCCATAGTTCTCACGTGATTATTCGACACGTTATTAAGTCAATTTCTTTTAAAAACCCCGTAACACACAAAACGTCTGTTTGGGATGTTGATAGTCTTATGTCTTTTTTAAAACATTATACTTTGACAAAGAAAGCAAATTCTTAGTCTCTAGACACACTGCAATATTACTTTGTTTAGGTCGTAGAGTTCATGACCTTACTTTATTAGCAGTAGATTTTGACCATTTTAAGAGAAATGACGACTACATTATTTTAAAATGTAAATTTATATATCTACTAAAACTATTGCACATTGTCAAACAGTAAATATGTGATACCCTTATTTTATGACGTCTATAATAAATGATTGATTGATTGATTGATTTATGGCCTTGGTTTGGATCTAAATCTGATAATTTTAACTGCAGGCAATCGGATTGGAAAATAATGACAGATACAAGCAATAAAAATCTCGATCCCGTTTATTGGGTAAATAAATGTATGAACCTATTACAAGGTCGACAAATAAACTTTCAGTCGACGAAATCTTATCTCGTAGTAGCTGGTGATCTGAAAATACTTTTAGAAAATTTTATAAACGTGAACGTGTCCAACTTCAGCTAGTATGAATCAAAATATTATAAATACTTTTGTAACAATTACAAATTGATTAATTATATAAATTTAAGCAACATCACTGATTTTGTACTACGTTCAGTTTAGTCATTATTACAATTTGCATTGACTTAATAACTAAGTAAGTCTTTCCTGTTGTTTGTGGTGTTCATAAACAGTGGGTGTCGTGATTTCTGCCGACAACCACCGGCTGCTCCGTCACTCTGCAGGGAGCAGTGCCGGAGTAGCTGCCTTTTATTAGGTGACTCTGCGTGGTGAACCTACGATAAAAAGCAACCAACCCCACCCTAGGCCTGGG